AGATAAGCAAGTGCTGGAGGAATTTGGCGTTGAGCTACCGCCGAGTTTTACCGGTATTATGCACTATGTTTACAAGACGTACCCCGATAATCAGCAGGTTAGTGTATTTAACACAAATTGACCTTTCCGCTAAGCCCCGCCCTTGGATATTGTTGCTAAGGCCCCAAGACGATCGACAGTGTTAAATGGTTAAAACATACGCGAACCGTGCGTTTTGTGGAAAAACAAGTGTGCTTATTGGATACGCGCGTATTTCGGTCACTGTTCTGATTGGTCAGTTGTTAAGTTTGATTGACACTCCTGAGCGGTCTATTTCTGTATTCAATTTTACAAACCTATTATATTATCATATTACGTGGGCACGTAGAAAAATTGTGTAAACACATACCATTAAATAGACTTGCCACAAGTCTCTAATTTATGGATTTTTCGTAGTACATTAGCGCATTTCGGAAAGCGCCACCAGCGTCAGTTTATGTTGAGAAACTTTTTTGATGAGAATTAGAAAAATCCATAGAGCTAAACAACTAGAGTGCTGACAAGATGGCGCAGCAATGCAGAGTTGTGTATGTGTACCATCCAAGATGGCCGTCGTAGTAAAGCGCCACCTTCAGGCTTAGTATACATATTATTACATATTAATAAGCCCTCTAACTGACTATTATTTCATTAGTGATAATGAGTAATGGTAATAACAAATTATTAAACTATTGTAGCCAAAACGAGGCCAAGTGGAGTATCCTATTAAAAAATAAAGTACCAAGGAATGAAAATTAATATCGTGTACATTACACCCAAACACCGCAACGCTCGAGTTTCAAACATACGGGTAACTAGCTGTACTGAACTTTCTGAGTAAATTGAGGGCGCAATTGCAAACGATGGTGCTTAGCGAAATTTGATTGGCTAAATCTATGGCAGCCATCTTGGATGGTACACACACACACACACACACACAGTTCTGCGTATTTCGAACATCGAATACATTGCGGTTAGCGCTCTTGTATTCTTATTATATCTCTATGGAAAAATCCCAGAAAAACTATACTATGGAACGCCATGCAAATAAGTAATATGGAACGCCATTTGTGCCAAAATCGATTTATTCTTAAGCATTTCAACTGATTAGGACAAAGATTAGGGACTGGAACCGAGTCTAACCATTAAACTGATATATTAATTTATTTTTACATATATCATTAAGTCTTACCGACTTTTATTGAACTATTTTTTCTCAAATTGTACAGTATAATACCATTTAACTCTATCGGAATGTTCATTTTATGGTAAGCGTTGACAAAGATTACAGGAGTAGCCGAAATATTCGCATCAATAATGTTAGTGTTTCGAAAGTCAACATCTTACTTATTTGGCCGGCGGAGCCATTTAGTATGGCCCACTGAAAAAAAAAGAAAAATTATATTTAAAGAAATAAAGTAATAATTATTCGATTAATACTTTTTTTCAATAAATTTAAGACTAAAACGCATTATAACTGATCAATTTTGTTTTTAGTATGAGTGACCCCACTGCACTCAGACATAGAATTAAATCAATTACCAACAACCAAAGACATACACCAAAGATCAGGGGTGGTGCCAGGATTTGCCCGACGGGGGCGCGGGGGCGAGGTCTCCGACTGAGGGGCGATGCCCCGACAAGGGGTCAGATTTCTCCGACGAAAGCAATTTGGGCGTGGTCGAGCTTCGATTAAAATGTTTCAAAAGTGGTCCAGGGGTTTAGGGGTTTCAAAGGCTTATTTAATCGATTTTAGAGTCTACTAATATGTAGAAAATACATATAATTTCTTTTCTCCCCGACGAATTGTGCTTTCTCTCCCCAACGGGGGGGGGGGGGGCGGCCCTCTCCATAGCAAGTGCACCCCTTCCCGACTCAATTGAAAGTCTAAGACTAAAGTGCTGTTTTTCTAGTTCAATTTCAGTTCTAATCGTGGTGGGACTTTGGTATAGTTGTGGCCCATCAGTAAAACTTTAATGTCACCCCCGCCCCTCCCTCTTTACGGAGCGGTTCATACCGCTAATGTCTCAACATTTTGTCAATCAAGTTCAACAAAGCGCGATCAAACGTTTTCATTCGATTAAATTGTTCATCAATTATTTACTTGCTTTTACGTAGGTTTTGAAAGAACTTGATTACGTCACGCGCGGTAAGCCCGCCAAAGATGCCCTCCAAGTGGGGTCAACGTACCCTGACGTTGAGTTGGAATGTGTAAAATCGCAGGACAAGTACCCACTCTCAAGACTGCATCTTCACAAGGAACGCCCCTTACTCATTATTACGTCATCAGCTTCCTGACCCCCGTTTAAGGTAGGTACTGTCATGAAAAACTCTACTATTAGATTACAACTTAATCAAGGGATGGGCGACGAAAGCATTTAGTTATTAGTGAAGCAGTGAGGGGTCGAAACAAGCCACCGGGCAGTAACGTAGACTCTCCAAAAGAGCACTCATGACGTCACCATATAAGCAACGCGCCCTCGGCTGAACCCGTTGTATTTAGTACCTCAACCCCATGCCAATATTTAAACAAGTTCTCGTAATCTCGAAAAATCATTAGACAACATGTCAATATAATTCGTACTTAAATCATTACGCTGTGTATTTACACAATATAATTTCAACTCAAGTTCTCAATATTTAAATTCAATATTCGTATCAATTTCAAGATTTCAGTATAATTCCATGTTTACACGATAAATTAAATTTGGGAATAAGTAAATAAAAGTCAATGTTCTCGAATTTTGAAGTGTCTTTACGGGTGGTCCAATTAGTAAGTGAACGGTTATCATCGCAATTTATAATCGAATAATTTTCCTCTACAAGTTCAATTCACATCAATTAAACATCTTATAATTTAAAAAACTTCTGGCCAGTAAATTAATTAAATTATTAAATGAATTTATTTATATCAATTATCTTTTTAGCTTTAATAACCTCAAAAATTGCCTGGCTATGAGCAATTGAAAGTGGTTATACAAATTGGTATACATGTGCGATTCTGCAAAAATTAACAGTCCGTTAACCTAATCTGTGCTGAATAATTGCTATAGTATTGATGTTTATACTTGCGTTTTGATATCTAAATCAATCAGGTATAGATTAAAATGTGCTTGTATTAATATTCAACATTTTGCTATTTTGACCTTTACTTGTTTGAAAAAAAAAATTTTGCGCACTACAAAAAAACGTGGTTGATGTAATAAAATCAAATTAATTTAAAAAAATAATTATTAAATTAAAACCAATTTTTTAATGAGGGATAAAAATATAAACAAACTCTTTCTCACAATGATGGAATTTAACAATGTATTCAACTTACCCATTTACTTCATTCTTGATAAACAAAATGCTAATTCCAAGCAAACAAAAGTTCAGTAAAGAAATTAAATGTTCAAAGTTAAATGTTCAAAATTTAACGTTGGCCTAAAGTTAAAAAGTTAGAGCGTTTTCCATCGTCATGGGGTGAAGTCCAAGTGAAGTCGGCTTGTCTCGAATCCTATTATAAGTTTGTCATCTGTCGGCTTGTCTCGAATCCTAAAAAGTTTGTCATCTGTCGGCTTGTCTCGAATCATAAAATCTTTGTCATCTGTCGGCTTGTCTCGAATCCGAACATGGTGTTCGTTGGTCAGCTTGTCACAAATCCGATTATTTTTTTTTCGTAAATTATTTTGTTTTTTTTTCGTTTCAATTCCTGACCATAGCGTACGCCGCGCGACTTTACAGTTACGCGTAACAATTTAGGCTATGTTCTCACACGGCAGCTAACGGTTAGCTGGATCCGGATCCTGCTAACCGTTAGCTGCCGTGCGTCCATGCGAGAAAATCCCGATCCGGATACCAACAATATGATGATCGAATCACTGGCCAATAAGAAACTGAAATTGTAAACGCGTACGTGTGATTGGTTGATGATAGAAACGCCCTCAACTTGCTAACCGATAGCGCTTGCTAACCGTTAGCGTATCCGGATACAGCTAACGGTTAGCGCTAACCGATCGGGCGTTCTCACGCAGGTGCTAATGGTTAGCACTAACGGTTAGCTCCCGATCCGGATACTAGGGCTCTCGTGAGAACCAGGCTATAAGGAACAAATTAACGTACTTGGTAACGAACTTATGGCGTAAAGCGAACACCCTATCTCAGATCCATGGCAACGACTAGGACGCCCTCTCCCAAAACCGATTACTTTTCTGTGCCAAATCGACGCTTCTATTTGTTACACGTAAATCGCGGAGAACACTATCTTGTGTTTATAAGATCTTTGTTTGGCACAGAAAAGTAATCAGTTTTGGGAGAGGGCGTCCTAGTCGTTGCCATGGATCTGAGACAGGGTGTTCGCGTTACGACCATTGAGATATAATAAGAATACTAGAGCGCTATCTGCAATGTATTAGCTGTTCGCAGAGCTGTGTGTGTGTACCATCCAATATGGCTGCCATACATTTATCCAATCAAATTTCGCCTAAGCACCATCATTTGCAATTGCGCTCTCAATTTACACAAAAAGTTCAGTACAGCTAGTTACCCGTATGTTTGAAACTCGAGCGTTGCGGTGTATTGGTGTAATGTACACGATTTTAATTTTCATTCCTTGGTACTTTATTTTTAAA